AGGGGGCTCCTGAACCTGAACTTTCCAGCTTCTCTGTCTGCAGCCGGCTCCCTTCACCTGATAGCCGCTCTCCTCGCTGCCCGCGGCCCCCCACCCGAGACCTGCCCAGCCAGCCCCCCCATCGGGCCCCCCCTGCATCTTCCTCCGCTCCTCCGGGTTCTCTCCCACAGACACCAGCGCATTTTAAAGATGTTTCCACTTTATAAATCATTCCTCTCTGGCAGCCGCCACAGCTGCTCCCCAAACACCACACACAGGGCCCAAGGCTGCCTGGCCCTAGGGGGGGGGAGGGTGCTGGCCACAGAAAGGGGCGCCCTGGGGATGAGAGACTTGGGGTTCGGCTGATCCCAAAACATTATGGAAATAGGAAGACGTGTTCCTGTCCCCTTCCTCCATGTGTTGAGGGGCATCTCTAGGTGCCCCATCCGAGCAGCCCTGGGGAATCCTGCAGGTTCCCAGAAGGAGGGCAGAGCAACGCCGGGGCCAAACCACCGAGCACAGACTGGCAAGGAGACCCTACCTGCATCATTTACACAGTGCTGCCCACCCTCCTCCTTCCCGGGGTGCGCTCCCCTGGGGGGTAGCCCCCTGCGGTTTCCCAGGCCAGGTCCCGTCAGGACGCGGGGCTAAGGCCAGGGCTGTGGAGGGAACTCCCGTTGCTCCCCAGCCGGAGGCCCACAGGACTTCTTTGGGAGCCCCTGGGGATCCCCGCTGCCCCGCCCGCCGGCCCCCCGCCGGTGGCCCGTCAACCTCGGGGAGCTGACCTGCCCGCCTTGGTGATGATCATCTCCGTGCCCGCCTCGTGGAACTTCTTCCAGAGCTCCTTCTCGTGCAGGCCCACCTTGATGTTCTCGATGGTCTGGGAGGGAGGCAGGGAGGGGCTTGGGTCGGCGGGCCCGCGGAGCCTCGGGGAGCGCACAGGCCGGGGGCCGCGCAAACCCTGCCCGCCCGGCCCGCCTGGGGCTTCCTTCCACGGAATTGTTCCGTGCCGCTGATGAATTTTTTAAAAATGTGATCAGTGGCGGATCCCCGTCCTTCGGAGCTGCACCTGTAGACGGGCCGGCAGAGGACACAACCCTGCCCCCGCAGCGGTAGGGGACCCACGTGCACACGAACGGAAACGCTCCGGGTGCCCGGGCACAGCCGCAGGCCGGAGGGAGGCGCGGGGACCCCCAGGGCCCGGCCCTAGCGGGACGCGCGCCCCGGACCCCGCGGCACCGCACAGGCCACGGCCCGCGCGCGCACACCGTCGGGCTCCTTGTCATCAGGTCACCCTGTGACCGTGCAGATGAAGTCCCCGCGGCCTCTGAGCCCCGCTCCCGCGCACACCCGGCCGTCCGGGTGGCTCTTCCCGCTCGGTCCCAGGCTTTCGCCCCCACCCCCTCCCGCCTCGCAGGGCCCTTGGAACTGGACACTTCTCCTGGGCTCTCTTCGCTGTCGCCGGGGTCCCCTCCGCCACCTGCCCCAGAGTCGCTCAGAGGGGTCCAAGTGGAGGCAGGACGGAAGCCCCTGCCCAGGGGAGCCCCGCCGAGCAGACAGCGCAGGACGCAGCCAGGTGCCCCAGGAAGCGAGCCCTGCGCGCCGCGGGGGGACTGGCACA